AGGACTCCGCTTACATTCCTAGGGCTGTTGGACACCAGCCAGCTCTACCAGGAGGCAGAGAGAGGCCGTCGCCTCAGGCAGCAGATGCCGAGACTGCCACCATCGGAGTGGCAAGATGCTGGAAGAAAGAGTCGAGCCTGCCATGCAAGCTGTTTGCACATCCGAACCTAGCCTGTTGCCCTCAGGTGTCATGCAGGATGCTGCCTTTCGTCAGTGTTAAAGCAATATGCAGCTTGAGGGCACACGCCATCTTGCCCTTGCTGCAAAATGCCTTGAGCTGGCCCTGCCAGGGAGAGCCCAGTTCAATTCCTCTGACACAAAACCCACTGGATGGCCTTGATCTAATCACCATTGCTCAGCTGAGCCCAATTTGAAGGATCATTCTGAGGCTAAACGGGGATGGACCACATATGCATCAAAGTTCCTTGCATGAAAGATAAAGCTTACTTGGTGAAGGACACTGGCACGACAAGTGGGCTCCTAAAATTGTGCTTGACATATGAAAACAATCCAATCCTGGCCATAATGTTTATCAGATGCTAAGCACTAGGAGCATCTGAAGAAATCCTTATGCATTATTTGCACAGTGTTTCTTTTCTTTGCATTTATTAATTCTGTTATGGCATATGTTTTTTCCTTGAAGAAACATCCTCACAACAACAGTGCGATGATCTAGTTGGGCTGAGAGTCTGTGACTGGCCCAAAATCACCCGGTGAGCTTCGCCGCCAAGTGCAGACTAGAACCCAGTTCTTCTGAGTCCCAGGCCAACACTCCAAGCACAACACGGCATTTGCTGCCACTTCCATTGAATGAATTGGATAGGGTTGAGAGTGAAGGCAAGCATGCCATGATAAACAAGTGCTGGAGAGAGAGAAAGAGGGACGGGAGAGAGGGTGACGGAGGAAGTGAGAGGAGGAAGAGGAGACGTGTATTTCCCCTCCCTTCTGTGTAGTTCTCTTCTCACCCCCTTCCATTCACCACAGAAACACTCTCTTATCTGCCCTCATACGGCATTATCAATACGGCACTTTCTCACCGGGCCCCTGTGTACCCACAGCCCTTCTCTCTATGTCAGGGGTCCTCAAACTTTTTGAATAGGGGGCCAGTTGAAAGGCTGTGGTGACCGTCGTGGGCCGGTGAGGCGGGGTGCCTGGGGGCGCGGGCCAGTGAGGTGCCGTCGGGCGCGCGCGAGACGGCATTGGGCGTGCATGGCAGCGGTGGTCTGCTCACTCAGAGATCTCCCAGCGCGTCCAAAACCATCTCTGGGCAAGTGAGGCACCACCTCCCCGCCTGCGCAGCAAGCACATGTGCAGGCGGCAAACAGCGGCGCGGGCCGGGTTGATGGCCATGGCAGGCCGGACCTGTCCTGCGGGCCGTAGTTTGAGGACCCATGACTTAGACCGGGGTCCTCAAACTGTTTAACCAGGGGGCCAGTGGAAAGCTGCCAGTGCTGAGCGTGGGCCGGAAAGGTGGTGCCGGCGGGGTGCGCGGGCCGGCGCAGGAGTGGGGGCAGGGCGCATGTGCGCACTGCAGTGGGGGGGCGGGGCACGTGGGTGTGGCGAGGGGAGGCAGGTGGGGGCGTGCGTGTGATGCAGCGGCTCGCTCGCTTGGAGATCGCTTTCTCCTAGCGAGTCCAAAACGATCTCCTCGTGAGCCAGCCACCGCCTCCCCATGCAGGGGGAGAGGCAGGCAGTGGCAGGTGCGTGTGCAGTGTGTTGAAAACCTCTGAGGTAGGCCAGATAAATGGCCGTGGCAGGCCGGATCCATCCCGTGGGCCGTAGTCTGAGGACCCATGCTTTATGTTAAGGTCCTTATGTCACCATAGTGTTGCTGCTAAAAGACTTATGGATGCTCTTTGCAATAGATTAGAGGGATGAAGAGCATGCAAATGAAGGAGATCAACTAGATTCAAAGGAGCTGAGGCACTTGGTTCCTTGCAAAATTGGTTTGTGATGAAAAGTAAATAAAGAAACACTTGGATATTTTTAGATCAAGAAGTTCAGCCACTCAGATCCTTCAGAACTGAAATTGCTCCTTCCTGGGAATGATTAACAGGTGCTTATAAAAATAATTCCTTACTCATAAAATGATAGAAAGATACCACCAAAGAGAGTAATGTTCTCATGGATAAGAGGCTTGAAAGCAGATGACCCAAAGTGATCTGTGAAAGAAAATATTTGACAAAACAGATCCACTTGCAGGGATGGGACATGAACCATTTAAGCTGATGGAGTTGTGAGGATCTATGTAAGGTGTCTTGAGTTCCACACTACACTAAGAAAGATGGGATATAAACACCATGTGATAACACACATATTCTGTCTTGTCCTTGCTTACTTAACCTTTTCTCAGCTTAAAAGCCCCGAAATATTGTAGGCTTCCCCCACAGAGGCTTTGCTTCATTCCCTGGATCCTTTTGATTGCCTTGTTCCAGCTCCACAATCTGCTTTTTGAGATGAAGTGAGCACAATCGTACACAAAAGTATTCCAGGTGTGATTTGTACAATGGCATGATGACATGGACAGCTGTATTCCTGATTCCTTTCCTACGGTCTCTGATACAGCATTTGCACATATTAGGTCACCATTTCGCAGGAGGCCAACATGTTTGTCAAGCTATGCACTGCCACCCCAAGTGTGGCATCCTGTCTTACGTCCATGACTGGCCACCTATTTAAGGTAAGGTGGGGGGCAACCTGGCCTGCTCTTGTCCCATGGAGGCTCTCCAGGTGCCTTCCTTAAGTATGATGGTTAAACATCAGTTGCATGCTCAGAATTTTTGGCATTTAGGGCTACACTCTCGTTTTATGAACACAAGGTAGGAGGGTTGGGGCAATATCACAATGTTTTTTTAAAAAATCTATTTTTATTTAAATGTGTTTTCCTTAGTTTTTAGGTAGGCATTAACTTTGTATTTTAAAATTAAGGTTTCGCTCAGTTTTTATTTAATTATGGTGGCAATGCTTAATCCAAATAGAAAGTTTCTGAAAGTTTGCAAAGTTAAATTCTTATTTAAGGAAGTCAAATGTGCAGGGGGAGAAAAGTAAAACTCAGACAAGGATTTCATTGCTAATCCTTTTTTGCGGCTTCAGTCCAGCTCTATTGAAAGAGACAGGTTGACAATTCCTATCTAGCCTGGTGGAAAGAACTGGGAGAGGAAAGGGTCAGATATACCCAAGATAATTGAAGAAGGTAGTAGCAAATTCAGAAATTAACCATGATGTCCTTTCCCCCCGCCACAAAAAATAAGAAAACCAGGGACAATCTTGTCAGCTAGTCTCACATCTGCAATCTGCTATGTTTCTCCCAGCTCCCTCTCTCGCTGTGTGATTCTACTTTGCAGGTGTCATGCACACTCTCTGGCAAGACTCCCAAGTGTGCACGGGAAGCTGACCATTTTGGCGAAACTGACAGCTCCGAGTCTGTGGATGATGGGGATCTGGCTGACCTAGGCAGGGCTGAGAGCTCGAACTCTGATAACGGAATTGTTGTTGTCACAGCTGGGCCTCCACCTGCAGCCACAGCTTCTCAGTACCCATCTGTGTCTGCTCAAGATGATAGTAGTTCAAGGGCAGCCAGGGGGCTCATGCATTGAAATGACGAAGAAATGATGAAGAACAATGACAACATCCTGAAGGAGAGGATGTGGAGATGTGGAGTCTCTTGGCAGGAGGTGGACCCAAAAATCCATCACCACAGCTGCAAGGTGGCCCAGCTGGGGGCTTGAAGGGAAGAATGCAGGTGTGCCCAGCTTCACGGTGCCCCTCCTTCCCAAAACAGGCCCAGAAGGGTTCATAAGCAAAGCTTTGGGTAAAGGAGGGGGCAAAGAGGCATCAACATTTTGCTTTGAGTATGCTCAGAGACCTGTGTATGCTTAGAGGCTTCTTTGTGGAATAAAGCTGCTTACAAGAGGTGCTGGAGAGTCTGCCTTGCTGGGGAGGGAACGCCTAGCTCACGACAGCAGGAGGGGTGCAGCAGGGCCTGTACTTAGGGGTCGGAGTCTTCAGCCAAACACATGCACACTGCAAAGATGCTCTAGATCAGGGGTGGGAAGACAGTAGATCCCTGGACTTCAAGTCCCAGAAGCCCCTGCCAGTAACACTGATGGTAAGGAACAGTGGGATTTGAAGTTCAAAACATGTGGCGGTCTGCTCTCTGCTCACCCTTGGCTGCGCTAAACTGCCTGCTGTTCCCTTTGTCCTGGGCTTGGCATCATCCAGCCTCCCCCGTGCACAGATGCAGGCAGCTGCAGCAGCCTCCTTTGGAGCCAATCAGAGCTGCCTCTTCCACCCTCTTCATTAACTTCAGCTTGCCTTCTACTAGTAGCGTCTGTCTGTGTGCAGAGAGCCCAGCCTTAGCCAGGTTGAGTTCTGGGATGCTGTACCAAAAGAGGAGGGAGGAAGAGAAAAGGAGCTGGTGTGGGAGCCCATCACTCTGTGTGTGTGTGTGTGTGACAGAAAGGGGAGAAGGGGAGAAAGTTGTCTGCCCACTGGGGAGTAAGTGAAGGGAACTCTGCTAGGGCTGAACAACATGCACGACAAAAGATTCCAGCGGAGAAAGAGGGGATTGACTCAGAGAGAGGCAACTGGCACAAAAGATGTGCTTATCCAGTCAGGATACAAAACCTACCTCTGACAGCCACGGCACCACTAAGCATAAAGGTGCCAGACACTGTCAAGAGCAGCTCAACAGTCTGCTCTGCCCTCCCTGAGCTGGCTCAGGAGACCTGCAGTGGAGGCAGGCTGTATCCCGACATTTGGCAGCGAGCTCCATTTCGGCCAGAGCTGGACCAGACCTGCCCTGCCCTGGCTCAGAAGACAGTGTGACCTTTCCAGGCTCATTTCTGGTGGCAGCGGCAGCTACTGCTACTGCAGCTGCAGCTCCCGGCCACTCTCTCTCTTCTGTTGTGGAGCAGTGACACCTGTAAGACCTTCCCTGCCACGTCGCGTGGGGGCAGGCTGCCTGGACCAGGGACTGCTGCTGCCCCTTGCACCCCAGAATGGACGCTGCGCCTCTGCCTTCAGGGGCCCAGCCCAGCTGGATCCCAGAGCCCACCAGGCCCTGGCTGAGCAATTCAGGCAGCGCCGAGCCCAGCTCGGGGGCCCTCCCGGTCGGAACGCAGCGTTGGATCATGAACAACAGTGCGCAGGAGGAGACTTCGCCCCCGTTTCTGACGGACGCATGGCTCGTGCCTGTCTTTTACGCCCTCATCATGCTGCTTGGTCTGGTGGGGAACTCTCTGGTCATCTATGTCATCAGCAAGCACCGCCAGATGCGCACCGCCACCAACTTCTACATTGGTGAGTCAGCCGCCCCATACCAGCCTGCACCTGTTTTCTAGGCTTGCACCATAGTCACCTGAGCCTGTGGGAGTTAGCACTTCTGCTCCTAGGGAATGCAGGCTGGGAATGGTGGGAATTGCAGTCCAGCAATCTGGAGGGTTGAGGGAGGTTGGTCTATGGCTCTAAAAAAGCCGGGCTTCTTCCAGTCTGGTCTGCCACAGCTTGTTTCCCTCAGCCATAACTTCTGTCCTGGACTCCCAGTGTGTAAGATTTTGCCCCTTGGGGTTATCAATGAGTTATTTTATATGCCTGGCCTGCATGAACGTTTCCCACAGTTAATCCCAATTGTTTGTGAAATGCACATGGAAACTATAGCTATGAAAACTAACAGGACAGTGGATTTGTCAGGCAAGCCTGTAATGTTACATTCCTATGTAATGGTTTCATTCTGCACATGCTCCTCCCAAGCATCATTTGCTGCTTTCTCTGAGCAGTGCAGTAAATTAAGTACTTTGTAATATTAGGACTTCCTCTTTAAGATTTGTCTGGAACGGATGATTTGATGATTTCAGAAATAGTAGGTTAAAAGCCCCCCTAGCACCCCCCCCCCACACACACACACACACAATGAACAACTGATTCTCACTGCATTTACTGGCCTGCAGCCCGAGGGCTCTAACTCATTATGGTGCCCCCCAGCGCTGATCTGCTATTATGGTAAGAGAACATTACTTTCCTGTATGTTCTTGAATGCTTGCCAGGTGAAAATGAGCATGCTTGTTTTCTCCTTAAAGGAATAGTAAAGATATTACTGTCGAAAAGGACATTTCAAAAAATCAATTAGAAGGTATCACAAACTGGTACTTTATTCTGTTCATTTCAATATGTTTCATACACATGCAGTCCTTAATAAGGCAATGGTCAGAATTTCAATATGCTGGCATGTATTAACACTGTTAGATCTGGTCCTGTGTGAACAGTTACACAACTATACAGGAGGAGCGACCCCAAAGATCAGTGGGGCTTACACCCGGGCTGCAGTTCTGTGTAGATGTACATGGGAGTAAGACCCCTGAATTCAGTGCAACTTCCTTCTAAGTAAACATGTCTAAGATTGCTCTGGTGCTTTCCTTTTCCTTCTTGTATTTTAAAAGCAAGTATTTTATCTATTCCATCAGAGCTGGTGGAAGGGAGACTCCAGAACTAGACACAAATGCAGCACATGATGTGGGACAGGAACACAGTAAGAACACAGCAACTGTCGCATTATGCCTTTGTAGCAAGAGGATGCCCTCCCCTGTACCCTGTAATGCAGGTGAAGCCCAGATATAAAAAGGGCCACAGTCACTAAATGTCATGAACCCCCAAACAGCCCCGCTGTGCTGTCGTTCCTCAGGCAGAACCTGAACTGAGGATCCTGCTGAGTTTTCTGTAATGGTGCATAAGAAACATCTGCAGCCCACACGCTGAAGCCGGACAGACACAGCTCTGCAGCCACAGGGACCATCACACCTGTTCAAAAAGCACAAATATTAGGAAGGCACCACAAAGTCTTCCTTCTTCAACTTGCAAGGGAGCAGCCCCTCAAAATAGCCCACCCATCTGCATGCTTTCAGCTGGGCCATATGTATAACCCCAACATGGCTGAGAGAAGCAGGATGAAAACCCGGATGCTCAACTTTTGGCACAGCCGATGCTCAATTCTCTTGTTGTTTTCTCCCTTCCCTGGAGTGTGTGCAGACAATGAGTATTGCACATGGTCTGCTATCTGCATCCATGTGAGAGGCGATGCAATGTATGCCCCCATCCCCTGGTTTCTCGTTGTTAAACTTGCCAGTATTTGTGTGAAGGCTCACGCCCTATGCCAAAGGTATGTGTGCCTGGTCTGGACTTTGGTGCAGAACCTCAGGCTTGGCTGCCACAGTCATCCATCTAGAGGTCTCCTGAGGACCAGGCCCCCTTCTCTGCCTGTGTTTCCTTTCCCCCTACCAGTGAGTGCTTTTATGCAGCCTCCCTCTGCACATTCTAAGAGGCCAAGTCATTTCTCCTAAGGCTTAGTTATTGGCAGTAAGGCTTCAAGCTGCAATAGGGTGGCATTTTAAAATTTTTTCTCCCAACCCCTTTTGCCTTCAGCCCCACTCACCCCTGGAGTAGGACCCTGAGAGCATCTCTAAAACGGATTTCGGCCCTTGGGCTGAAAGAATTCTGCCACTGCTAAGCTGGACAAAAGTCCCATACTTCCCTCTTCTGGGCTGTTCTCTACCTCACTTTTCAATCACTACTGGAGGTATTTCTTGCTTTTTAATGCCTTGGACACACTCTCCCCTTTCATGTCAGTCAATCCATCCCTTCTCTAAAACTCATTTACTCATTTTTGGTCCTGGGGCTGTATGACCCCCCACCCACAATCCAGTGATGTCAAAGGCCAAGGCCAAGTGACAATGGTTCATTTATGATTCTGAGACAGCAAACACATTGATGGAGAAAGGCTAAAGATGTCCTTGGTGCAGACAGTAATTAAGCATCACCTGCACTACAAGATAACAGTGTTTATGCCCTTTCATTTAGCAGAAATGCCATGAAGAACAACATCAGTCAGACCTGTGGAGATGACCAAACACACAGCACCTGCTGTGGATCAGGTTTAGGTTCTCCAAGAGGTGTTTTCTTGCAGAAACTTAAGCACTGAAGCTACAGCAGATATGCTGTGCCAAACATCAGCCATATTAATTACTCCTGTGGTTTTCATTATACTCCTGCAGCCCTAATCATGTTTATACTTTCTTGCTAGCTTGAATGATTAGCCTTAGCATGTGGTAAGCAGCTTGCATAGATAACTGCATGACATCCTTGGTACCAAAGTCATACCATCTTGGGCAGATAACTAACTTGGAAAAATAATAACAAAAGAAACATAACAAACTGGTTAAGGACCCAATACCCAAAAGAAAATCTAGGCATGGAAGGACCCATTGCCACGCACCACTAAACAATATATATTTATCCTCTGTTAATTTCCCCTACAGTCTCATCTGCAAAGATCCTTCTCTTCCACAACATAATCTGCAGCCTCCCTGCCCACTTGAAATGTTTCATGCCAATCACTGCATGGAGAAGAAGAGTTTGCTGCAGCTTGCAAGTTCAAGTCAAGTTCAGCTCTTTCTTCCCATGCTACATGCCCCACGGGGTGCCAGTGGGACAGGAACTTAGGCAGGAGAATCCATGGCTTACCTCTTGTCCCCATCTTGTCCCCAAAGTCTGATCTTTCATGGCAGTTAGGAAAAAGATTCTTCCTGTGTTGCTCCCCTTAGGGGCCAAGGCTTGGGGAGGGAGCAAGGACCACTGAAGGACCTCACTCCTCCATGGGCAAGAGGAGGTCATAGTGTGCACTGGAAGTCCCCCCCCCACCCAATTTACTGAAATAGGAAACCAGCTGCTTTGCCATCCCCTTTCAGTCTTACGTTTTCAACACACTCCTTAAAATTACTAGTGTGCATAGGAATGCACTGATGCAACTGCACGTGTGTGTGTGTGTGTGTGTGTGTGTGTGTGTGTGTGTGTGTGTGTGTGTTATTCCTAGGAAATAAAATACATAGAATCTGAACCTGCAGTTCTGGGATAAAGAAACACACATATGCAAGGAATGTGCAAAGGTTAGTCAAGGAGTAGGGACAAAACTGAGTAGGACTGAACTCATCACAGTTCTCTTTTCCACAGTGTGCAGGGACACAGTGTGCAGGGACACAGAAGCTGTGTCACTCCAGACTGTGAGCCCCAATGCCCTATTCCAGTATTCTGTGAGCAAGAAAACAGAATGATGGAGAAAGCAGCAAGGGGGACTTCTTGCCTCAGTACCGAGACAAGCAGCCATATATGTGGCCTCTGCTGCAGTCTCTCCATGGACCAAAGCAGACATTCTTTCCAATGTGTCTCTAGCAGCTACGCCTTGTTTCCCTTTACTTATTTTTCTCTAGAGTCAGTACAGGAGGCCCATCCAGTTTATGAAAGGCGAGGCGAGACATCCCTGTTAGACACGTGTCTCTAGTCTGGCCCATTGCTTTCTGCCAAGGAGTTCAATGGACAATCCCTTAATGACCTTAAGGCTTGAGTCAGGGAGCCGAGCTGACAGCGCCAGGCAGAGCAAGCGAGCCTCACCATGTCTCACGCTGATGCCAACTCTGTGTCTTTGCAGCAAACCTGGCTACCACTGACATCATATTCCTAGTGTGCTGCGTGCCCTTCACTGCCACACTCTACCCCCTGCCCAGCTGGGTGTTTGGGGACTTCATGTGCAAATTTGTCAACTATTTGCAGCAGGTGAGCTTGAATGGAGGAAGAACCTGGAGGTAATATTTATTGTATAAGCAGATGTGCGGTGGAGAGGGCGTCTATGCAAACAATTCATGTGTTCACAGAGGAACGAATGTGGGTTCTTTTACCAGTTTTCCTTGTCTTAACAGGTGACTGTGCAGGCTACATGCATCACCCTGATGGCTATGAGTGTGGACCGCTGCTACGCCACGCTGTACCCACTGCAGTCGTTGCATTATCGAACTCCCCAGGTGGCCATGGCTGTCAGCATTGCGATCTGGATTGGTGAGTAAGTCCAAAAAATCTACGTGCACAAAGCTATAGGAAAGAAGATGGCTGACATTACTTTTATTGCCACACACAACTAAATCTTCATATATTGAGCCTGGTCTTCTGAGCAGCTGTCTCACAATGTAACATCGAGGCAAATACCAACTTCTCTACAGAGTGCTTGATTGGTTGGTTTGTTGAGTGATTATAGTAAATTATAGCCCACACTTCTGAGTTCTAGAAGGCTAGCCATGTTTGTTTGCATCAAAACAACAAAGAGTGGAACAAATTTAGCATGCTGTTTTGGTCTCTTTGAGGCCCTGCCTGTAACCCCCCCCCCCTTTTTTTTTACTTCTCAAAAAGTTGGTGTTCCACCAAGCCTTTTTCTTCCCTCTTCTGCATGAATAGTACTATTTGTCTACATAGTCAACAACATTCGACATCTAAACCCTGGAAATACATGGAAAGATGAATACAGTGTAAGAGGGTTAGGCCTAGTTGGTTGCTGTACCCAGCTTTCTCCTGAGCTTTGGTTCTCAACTTCACTTATGCTAATAATCCAGTTTTTACTAGTAACCAGCCTTCCTTTACACCCATTCTTATCAAAGCTATTGTTTTCTGGGAGGCAAAGATGTGTGAACATGGACTAATTTGACTTGCAAACACTGGATGCTATCCGATGTTAGTCCTACACAGAGTAGACCCACTGAACGGATCAATGGATCTATGCTACATGGGACTAACATTGGACATTACCCAGAGGTCAAGTAAGTTGTAAAAATGAATTAAGCTGTATATGCGGAAGTATATAATTCATATTTTAACATATCCAGTGGGATACAGTCTACAATCAATTTAAAATCATGAGGTAAAATGTATTGAAATGCATTTCAACTGAAAAGCTGCATTAAGCAAGAATGCAGAGGCATCTGAGCTGCTCATCCTTAATACCCATGCCAGTACTACCTCACAGGACCCTGACTTTGGTATCTTTTGCCTCCAGGGTCATTCATCCTATCGCTGCCCATGGCTGTGTACCATCGGACTGAGGTGGGCTACTGGTACGGCTTGCGCACCTACTGTATTGAAGCCTTCACCAGCAAGAGCCAGGAGCGCAGCTTCATTCTATACACTTTCCTGGCTGTCTATCTGTTGCCCTTGTTTACTATCTGCCTCTGCTATTCCATCATGCTCAAGCGCATTGGGCGCCCCGTGGTGGAGCCCATGGACCATGATTACCAGGTAAGATGGAGGACAAGAATTTAGGGTCACTCTGTTTCTTCAAGTGTTGGACCTTTGTGAAGAAAGCTCCAGCAGCCTACCTGTAGATAGTTCAGGTAAGGTTTTAATTCAAGGAATCTAAAGAATATGTAGGAATCAATCCTTAAAACACCTGGCAAGGTACCAAACACCTGTTCTCCCAGACATGTATAATGTAATATCAGTTTCATTTGGTCTTCTTCTTTAGTTCACTCCTTTTACGGTGAAAGTGTTCCTAGGTATTTTATAAAAACACAGGTTGTTGAACTTTTTCCATAACATTAGACAAGAAACCATTTGAAAATATTTCAGACTTCCTATTTTCTTTCTAAAACTTGTTTTTCTGAAGAATTAATTCAGATGTATGTATCCATGCAGTGACCTTCCTCCATATACTCTTAAACTTTAGAACTGCAGGCTGAAAGAAAGAAAGGAGGGAGGGAGGGAGGGAGGGAGGGAGAAGAAAGCTGAGATTAGCAGGATGCCACTTCTTCGCTGGATACGCAGATTTTAAGATTGCATGGCAGTCCCTTCCTCATGAATCCAACATGTTGCTCTAACCTACTAGGATCTCTTCCTTACCTAGAGAGGAAGCCGATCTTGCTGCCATATCACTGCACCACACTATATTCTGGATCGACTATCCATGCCTTTTCTGTTCAATCCCAGCAGGTGCAGCATCTATCTGAACGCTCAGCTGCCATGCGGGCCAAGATTTCCAAGATGGTTGTGGTGATTGTGCTTCTGTTTGCCATTTGCTGGGGGCCGATCCAGTTCTACTTGCTCTTTCAGGGTTTCTATCTCCACTTCCAAGCCAACTATGAGACCTATAAGATCAAGACATGGGCCAACTGCATGTCATATGCCAACTCTTCTCTCAACCCCATTGTCTATGCTTTCATGGGAGACAGTTTCCGTAAGTCCTTCAAGAAGGCCTTTCCCTTCCTGTTCCGCCAGCGTGTACGGGACAATGGCATCCACTCAGGCTCCCACAATGCAGAAGGGAATGAAATTTGTCACTGAAGAGACCTAAGTTGTTCATGATCGAGCTTCCACAAGGAAGCATTCTGCTTGATATGGCATCTAATAAAACTGGATGGCTGCTATTCAAGGACCTCACAAAATGTGAATGGCGTTTAGCATTAAAAGGCCAGAGCACTAAGGAATCTACGTAGCTCAGATACATAAAGTGATAATGAGGGCTAGGAACTCTGTGTGACTGATTGCAGATTTTAGTTCTGAGTGAAAGCTACAATCTGCAAATTATCTGAAACTTAATCAAACTTGAGTTGAAAATATAATCGATAGAACTATAATCTGCAGTAAAACTCTGCCATTCTTGTGACTTAGCCACAGGACTGGCAGAGATAACCCTGAGTTTTGGCCTGTGTATATTATGGGCACAGAGTCTTTTTCAGTCTGAGGGCCAACTTCAATTCTGAGAAATTTTCTTGAGTCACATTACACCAGTGGTAGAGTGTGGAGGAAATGATGAGGAGAGAGACCCAAGTGTCCCAAACTTTTATGACCCAGATAGTGCCCCTTGCACATGCTCTAGAATAAATTGGGGTGGGGGGGGGAGATGTCGCTACTAAGTATGGATTTAAAGTAAGGATTTTTGGACTCCAGTGACATTACATGCCTCAGCCAAAGATTAGATCAGTATAGGCAGTTTTGGGGCCATTTTCCAGCCCTTAGACTCCCCAGAGGTTGTACTCCTACCACCATGCCACCTTATCACACACTGGCAACAAAAATTGGTTGCTTGCCACCAAAAGTTGGCAACACAGCACTATAGAGACCCAGAAGGGCCACGTTTAGCATACGAGCTAACTTTGGTGCTTTTGACTCTCCACAGTAGTTTGTTGCAGGATTTTAGAGGCAAACTACTGGTTTTCTATTTACTTTTCTTTTCTCATGATGTGGGGGGCAGGCATCTGTGGTCCCTGGGCTGCATGTTGCCCTTTTCTGTATTAGGCAGTGGCCACTTGCTTTGACAATGGTTTACCTTTTCCCTGCTATGCCTATGGAAGAAACGGGAATCTTGCCCTCTTGCCATCCTAATTAGAAGGTATAGGCAGGCTGGGGGGAAGCAGAGCACACGGTTCTGATCCGTGGGAAATCGGCAGGCCACAGGCAGGCCCTTTGCAGCATTCCGTGTTCTCAAGGGCCACCTGCTGGTGGATGTTTTAGGTTGCCCTTGAACCTCTGAGTAAACATACATGAGATTGTGTCCTCATGTCTGATCATCTTTGCTTTGGGATGTACAAAACACCCAGACGGAAGAGATCAGCTTGGAAAGTGTCAGGACAAAACGAGCAACGACTTTGCCAAACTGTGGCTGCTAAAAGCCTAACGCTGTAAGAACGGCTTTCGACTCAAGATCAGGAATCCATGTTGCAAGTCCTGCTAACGTCCCTGTCCCGAAATACTTGTCCTTTGGGGCACACCTTAGATGTGCTAATATCTGCCTTTCCTGAAGGCTCTTCTTTTTTGTATTGTGTTCACCCCTTCTTGTTTTATTCTATACCGTGTAGGCTTAGGGCTAGGATCTCCCACCCCTCCTCCAAACTGTGTATGTAAGTGATAGGTTATAAAGTTTCTTGTGCAGACTCCATCTTTGTATTCCCTTCAGGGACTGCCTACATGCCACATGTATTTCCTGTACGTCTGAATAAACTGTAAATGTTCTTTTGACTGTATGCCCCCAGTCGACTCTCAGGTTTTTTTTTTTTTCATGTCTGTCAAAAGAGAAATTGCTTTTAAGCAGATACAATTGCAATCTTGTGCTAAGATGTAAGTAGCCATTAGGGAAGAACAAGCTGGCCCCCACTCCTGCATCGTCATTGCGTTTGCCTGGGCACAGCTGTGTGCTCCACAAGCAAAACTGTGTTTTTCAGACTTGCAGAACTCCATTTACCAAGTGTGCATAGAAGGCGGAAGAGTGGATCTTTGGCTTTCCATTCTTGGGAAAGAGCGAAAGGGTAAATCCATTATCTTTATCTTTACAAGAGGAGGGGTTCTCAAGCTCTGCCACAACTCAGCTTCCCACCCCTCAGATCAGAATCTAATAATCTCAAGCTCTCTACACATGACTATGGCAACAGGATGAGTGACTGACAAAGGCCGATTAATCACACCTCAGTACTTGCGATCACTCACACATGCAAAAATTATGGAGTGAGACCTCCTACCAGTATTCCCTACCAGTAATAGTTAAATGTTTGACCTATTTTCAACTGTAGGGTGTGAGGGTCTCACGCAGCAGAGCTCAGAGGCTGAAACAAGATCACAGTATTGGGACAGGCTTCAGTCCTGAGCATGCTTGCTTGGAATAAGGACATGTGAACTCAGTGATATTTATTTATTTATATTTCCATTTATATGTTGCCTACCACCCAAAGGTCTCAATGTGGCTTACAGTTAATCAAGGCAGCTTACAAGTAAACACACACAGAACTGATACTGCATGAACAGAGTCAGAAAATAAGGATTGTGAATACATAATATATTAGGAATCAACTCCAATAGCTGCCATGGAGTTACAGAGGTGGGTAGAGACCTGTTCTCCCCTGCAGAGGAGGGCAGGATGCATTTCAATGGAGCAAAGCTCAGGGAGCCAAGGTTCCGTTTGGATGCCAGGAAGCACTTCCTGTGAGTTAGGACCCCGAGGGTATGGAATGGGCTTCCACGGAAGGTGGTTGAGGCCCCATCGGTGGGAGTGTTCAAAGATAGGCTGGACATGCACATGGTGAGCATGTCATGAGCGGATCAGGCTGGAGCCAGGGGTCAGACTAGATGGCCTTGGAGGCCCCTTCTGACTCACTCTGTTTCTGTGTTTCTTTGTTTCTATCTCTTCTGCTGGTAACAAAGGTCTTAATTCATGGTCATACTATGAATGAGTGTGAAAGCTTGACAGTGAAGAATGTTGACCGGAAGAAAGTGGATCAATTCAAAAGTGGGTGTTGCAGGACAGCTTTGCAAATATCCTGGACTGACAGAAGGACAGACAAGTAAGTGGGTCCTGGATCAAATTTATTTATTTAGAAAGCTTCTATGCCGCCCCATTCGCCGAAGCCTTGGGGCGGCTTACAACAATACATAAAAACAATATAAAACAATATAATATAATTGGAGACGTCCTGGCCATAAGACGTCTGGCCAAATCAAGCCAGAACTTGTCCCGGAAGCAAACATGACAAAACTGAGTTTGTTGTACTTCAGGCGTATCATGAGAAGGCAAGACTCAATGGAGAAGACAATCAGACCAAGGAATGTCGAAGGCAGAAGAGGGAGACCAGCTATGAGATGGATCGGCTCCATATAGGAAGCCACAGCCTTAGTTTACAAGAGCTGAGCAGGGCTGTCAAGCACAGCGCATTGTGGAGGGCATACATTCATGGTGTTGCCATGAGCCAGAGGTGTCTTGATGGCGTGTGACTACATAACGAAAACAACGTGCCTTGCATTCTCCATACGAGTTCACTGCTGTGCAAGGCTGGTTGATGATGCAATCAATAGCAAGAAATAATGTATGTGCGTGCATGTGTGTGTGAAGATACACATTGCTTCTCTCCTCTCCCATCTCATCTTGAATATGTTGAGGTGCCTTGCGTTAAAGAGCAAGCCAGTGACACTCAGAGGGCAGGTGAACTACTCTTCGCAGCTACAGTGCTGGCTTCTGCAGTTTCCTAGGCAACCAAAGGCGGACAAGGCTCAGGAGCAACGCCTCTCTCTTCTGATGGCAGGAAAACAAGGCCAGGAACGCCAGGGGTGCCAATGGAGAGGCAGGTACTTCAGCCCAAGCAGCTAATGGAGTAACCCTGGAGGCAGCCCCTTCACTGCAGAGAGCAGCCCTAGCTTTAGTCCCATTATTATGCAAGCTAAGAAGAGAGGCATTTTAGAAGGCAGCTATTCAACTGGTGATGCTCCTGTTCATGAAAACACTGAAAACAATCCAGCTTTCAGGGATTTGCAGGTGCAACCTACTGTGGCAGAAAGGAACATTGCCAGAAACATGCTAAGGGCAAATAGAAGGGCAGTGGATTTGATGCCAGCCTCTGTTGTAACATTTAACTGTCTCTGCTCTCGTTTCCTTATTTTTGAGTAAATTGTTACTCAGTGTGAAGGTAACTCCTTGGACATTCTTACCACACTTATTGAACAGTTGCCCCCAAGTAGGCCACACAAGTTCTTTCATGTGGATATGTTCAACCACTTCCCCCAGGGGTGGGATGTTCCAGCGGAAACTTAGTTCACTTTGAATAACAGAACACTGGAGACTTAGAATGCCTTTAATATATACTTATTGTATTTCAGTTTCTGTTGAGTCTATGCGGTGTGGGGTGTTTCCGTCCAAGGCTACCGCCTGCTGTGTCCTCTTCCTAGATACTCCATTCCACTCTCTCTCCTCTGGCTTTTCCTTCAACAGAAAATCAACATTTTGTCTCTGTAGCATGCTTGATCTTCATTAGATTTGAGGAGGGGGGATCTTTAGCAGATCTTGCTGTATTGCAGAGTAAGCTGGCACTTCCTCCTTTTTTTCCTCACTGGCTCCACTTGGGCAATTCACTTAGTAGCTCAGCTTATGATTAGAAGAAGTTGTATAAGCAGAGCCTTTTGGAAGTATATTGGACACTCCTTCAGTAGGCAGCACAACCCCGAACAACAATGTAAGTAGTGCTGCCCATGAAGGTTGTACCCCTGGTCTGAATGAACTCCATCAACAAATCGCCACTTCCTCTGTCTCTGGATGCAGAGGCCTTGGGGAGCCATACACACGACAACACTGGGGATGGATGTGCTTTAGTTGTAGAGCTACCCTCATTTTTCCCATCCTCACTCCTCTAATGACAAACGACAACTAGCTCTGAATACAGCACTGATTTTTATCCCTCACCCTCATCTTTCAAACAGAGTGTTGGCTTTAGCAGAAATACTTTGGACACCTGACATATTTATTTGGTCCAGCATTTACAGGGAGGCCCTTCTCTGCTCTGCTCTGCTCTGCTCTGCTCTATTCCCTCTTCCCTC